GATCGAATCAACCAGGTGGGGCCTGCAGTACGGGGGCGAGAGAAGTGGTCCAAAGCCAGGACCTGTAATAAAGCCAGTCAAGGCCCAGCAGTCCCTTTAGACAAGAGGGTGGTGGGTGTTTGGCATAGGATTTAATGGGGGTTGAGACTGCTAACCTGCCTGAAGGGCAGGAGCAGTTTCTTTAAATCTCCAGATGGGGATTTCTTGGGTGCTTCCAGACTCCCTGTGACTGAGAGTATGTCCCTGATGGGGGAAGGAAGTGGGTGGCAGCCCCGAAGTTGTGGGCGAACAGAATGGCAGGTGCCCCCAATACTTATCTTGTCCCCAGAGAGCATGAGCTGACTGAGGTATTTGCTCAACTGGAGCCTTGCAAAAGTAGGTGGAGGTTCCAAAGCAGTGGCCCCAGGGCAAGGTAGTTAGATGCTGCTGATGGTCTATCTTTGAAGCCTGATGGTCCCCCTTTCCCTTCATCTCTGACACCTCCACTCTCCTGAGCCCTGACCCTTGAGTTCTGTCTCAGATCCAATCCCCAAGTCCCAGCTCCAAGCCTATCCCCTAATCAGTTGCCCAATCCTGGTTCCTGAGACCCAGCTGTTCCAGGTCTGGCAAAATGAAAACGAACGAATTCATGCCCAAGAGACTATACGGCAGTTGCAGCGATACTGGGAAGTGCGCCAGCTGCGCCTGCTCAACTTCATCCTGCATGTACCCTACGAGCCCCCAGCCTCAGAGCGCTCCAAGAGGCAGGTGCTCCGCAGCCCCCAGTGGGAGGTAGTGGACAAAGATAGTGGCACCTTCATCCTCTCAGGTGAGACTCAGTCCTTGTGACCTAGTGAAAGCCCCCTGCTGGGGGCCATTTTCATCCACCATATCCATCAAGCCCTGGCAGATCTGATTCTCTAGCCAGGGCCCCATCCTTACTAGACAGCCTGAGACATTAGTCTGTTCTGAGACAGTGTCTTCCATGTAGCCCCCTACTGTCTTAATCTCCTTGTGATCCCCTTCCCCTAACCTGTCTCTACTCAATGCCTGGGTCCTTCAGCAAAGGTCCTTCCTCCTCTTTCTGCCTACACTCAGAAATTCCTCATGGTCAGTTATCTACACCTTTCAATGCTCTGTCCTCTAGATTGCACCCTGCTGTCTAATTTTATGCCTCATTCATTAATTCATTTCTTTATTCTCTCCCTCATCAAACCTTCATCCTCTGTGCTAAACTTTACACGGGAGACCTTGAGACTTACAGACAGTATCCCTGTCCCTCAGAGATTTCTGAGTCCAGTGAGAGACAGTCAATATTATAGGGATAAACAAAATGGAGCACCTTACCGAGGGCAGTAGAATCTCAGAAAGAGGACCAGCTCAAAGAACCAGAGAGAGAATCAGAGAAGTCTTCTTTAGGCAGAGGCCTTATGCTGACTCTTTGAAGGAGTAAGAGTTTGCCAAACTTGCCAGGTGAGAAGGGCAGACCAGACAAAGGGAACAGCATTTACATAAGCATCCAAGATGATATAGCTGGGGCATTGCCAATAGAGGAGAAATTTTCTTATTCAACACAACTGGAACCCAGTTGGTGAATCCAAAATCTAATGATGCATACATAGTTTAAGATTTTTATTTTAGCAAAATATATGCATGTACATTTACTAACCTTTTAAGCTAATGACAAGAGCTTTTATTTGATTTGATAGTTCCTCACTGCCTTTCTTGCATTAATGCATTGTCTACTATTTCTGCTTTCACTTTCTGTAAAGTTGGGCAGCAACATGAAGACACTTTTAAAGTCCCTATGAAGGGAAGGGCCTTAGCTGCAGGAGCTGGGTACCGTGTGGAGAGAGGGAGGTGGGGAGAGGACTTCCAAGGAGATTGAGACAGTTGGGAGTTACATAGAAGACACTGTCTCAGAGTCCAGAGCTTTTCTAGATTTTTATTATAAGTTCCCAGTTTATAAAAAATTGACTTGCCTATACCTAATAGCATATGTTTAATCAGTTTGCCTTTACTGAAGCTTTCTGTGGTTTCCATAGAAACAGCAACTTTTCCCCCACCAATGTGTCAGTGGTTTTTACAATATTAGATTCAACTCTTTACTTACAATCACAACATAACTCACATAAATAGATTCGCAAACACACTCTTATTCTTAGTGTGCACACACTTTAACTAGTGGAAGCAAAAATGTTTGGATCTTCTAAAGAATAGCTTGAAATCTGTGAGTTTCAGTTCAGTTAGGGCTTTAGTCGGTATATTTGATGGTAAGAATGGGGAGCATGAGCTTCTGTTTCTATTTCTCTGTAGCTGGATCCCAAATAATAGTGGAGGAGGGGATGGAGCAGATAGAACTGGAGAGGATCAGATCATGCAAAGTCTTGTGGGTCACATTAAGAATTTACTCAATAACATGAAAACAATAGAGAGTCACTGTGTGTTTTTTATGGGTAGTAACATAATCAGATTTTAGTTTAACAATATCATTCTGGTTTCAATATGGAGAATGGATTGAAAGGAGGCAAGGAATGGCAATTGAAAGATCAATTAAGGGATGACTGGTATAACCCAAGTGAAAAATAATAGTGGTCTAGACTAGGATAGTAGCAATGGGGAAAGAAAAGTGGGTGGACTCAAGCTATGTAGAAGTCAACTAGGCAAGATGTGTAACTGGTTCAACTTCTGCATGGAGGAGAATGTAGGTCCTTTCTATTCTAATATAGATGTTCCTTATTACCCAAATTCTTTATCCTTTTCACCTCTTTATATCCAGTATTTGGTTAGGGGTGCCTTTTCCAGCCATTTGCAGCACATTGATACATGGCACCCAGCCTCCTTGTTCACATCTCCCTTATTAAGGACTTGTAAGTTTTGGTGTTGACTGACACAAAGGCTGGATGTCTGCAGTTAACATTTGCACCAAGATTGAAAGGAGATTCTCTTCCCACTTTTGTCCTGAGCACATTTTATGCTAATCCATTTGCCCATCTCTGACCCTGGTTCTACACTTTGCCAATCTGCTCCTACTTGATGTCTACCACTTTTCTGCCTCATCCTTAGATTTCTCTGCTACCAAAAGTAATAAATAAAAATTCATAGTGCAGAGTAAAGGCTCTGGATAATCTGGGCCTTGGGATGTCTGTGAGCATAATTTCAGATACCAGCCTGGGTCCTACCAGTCTTTACTTCAGCTCACAGCCCTTCCTCCACCTTTGCTCCCTTTCAGTTTTCCCTTCTCTCTCTAAGCTAGCATTTGCACCAAGCACTTGTATGGTTGAGGTTTCTTCCTATGGGTTCTCTCCTTTCTCTGTACCAGGTTTTCTTTTCCTGTTAACTCTGGGCATGTTAACCAAGGACAACATCTTTGTAGTGGCCACACACCATGAAGCTGGTGACTTCATTCACCCAAATAAACCCCAAATGATGGACTTGTTATGTACTTAATTCTTACCTCAAGAAGACAGGTTGTTACAGGATTGGGCACACCTACAAATTATTAATCTCCCCCTTTAGATTCTTAACCAAATGAGAACAAGGATATATATGAAAATGAAAGTATAATATCAGGACCATCACCCCCAAGGAAGTTTGTGCTTTTTATATATCATGTTGGCAGACACAGCTCAGATCTAGGTCAAGTGAGACTTCACGGTACCTCATCATAACCTTCCCCCAATTAGGTGAGAACTTGAGGTCTGTGTGGATATGCAGAGGAAAGCTGAAGTACACTTACACAGGCAGCTGTGTGGAGGGCTGTGGCCTGCCTCATTCCCCATAGGGCATAAAAGATGGGTCTCTTTGCCTCCTCACATGGGGAAGAGTAAGGGAAGGGGATAGACAGTTTTCTTCCCACCAGGGATGTCTGGAGAGTTCTACATCTGTCTGAATAAACCTCCTTTCTTGATTGTTCTCTCATTTTTACCCCAATTAGTGTCCCTACCTCATTTCCAGCCCTAGTCTAACCAAGCACTTGTGGCCTGAAGGGATAACTCTTTAAGCAGCACCAGGGAGCCAAGTGCTAAGACTATAGAGAAAAGTTTGTTCTCAGCTTCTCTACCAGGACCCCTTTTAAGACAGAATGGGCATTCTTGCTATAGAAATATGATGTAGGGTCCTGGAGCCATTGAGCCCTCTTCCCAGGCTAGAGGCCCTAGTTCTTACAAAGCACTTCCATGGAGTTAGCTTGATACTCACAGCAGCTAGTCAGGGAACTCAGCTGGCCTGGAGTCTGCCCACAGTGCCTTGGGAAAGGAGGAGCTTCTTCTCTCACCATTTTGAGACCCAAGTGCTTTATAGGCTCTACATATTGACTGATGGAATCCTTAAAGGCAGAAAGGGCAGCTGGGCATGGTGGCTCACCATGGTAATCCCAGCACTTTAGGAGGACGAGGTGGGTGGATCACCTGAGGTTAGGAGTTCGAGACCAGCCTGACTAACATGGTGAAACCCCATCTCTACTAAACATACAAAAAATTAGCCGGGTGTGGTGGCACACACCTGTAATCCCAGCTATTCAGGAGGCTGAGGCAGGTGAATTGCTTGAACCCAGGAAGCATAGTACAGTGAGCCGAGATCGTGCCATTGCACTCCAGCCTGGGCTTTTTTTCAAAAAAAAAAAAAAAAAAAAAAAGAAAGAAAAGAAAAAAGATAGCAAGGGCATCAGGGTCTCTGTAACTGCCTCTCCTGGAAGGTCCCCCTGGTCTGCTCTTCTCTCCCCCAGCCCTGGCCCTTGCCCCATCTGACTGCCAGTTCAGCTTTTTCTGTCTTAGATTACAGCAACCTGCAGGATTCCATCCAGGAAAGTCTTCAGGTGTTGTCCAAGATCCTGGCCATCCAAAAGTCAGGAGACTTAAACAAAATAGCTTTGGAGTGGATGGCCATCATGCATGGCCTGGGTAAGTGCAGGCCTCTAGTCAGGCTGATGGGTGAGACCTGAGGCAGGATGTGCCAGAGGGATGGGGGTGAGAGGTGGAGGTTGGGTCGGAGAACATATGAAGAATAGAGTGAGGACCTCCTTCAGGGCTGTTTCTTGGGATGAAGAGATCAGGTTTTTATTCACAGTGAAAATTTTTTCTCCCTCAAGCAGGATCCCCGAGTCCTGCTGGGCAGAGTATTTTGCTTGGGCTGGCGGGGCACCTGAGAGGTCAGGAGCAGGGTGGACTCCTCTGCAGAAGGTAGAACCCTAGTGTTTCCCACCAGCATTTCTCTGGCTGCTTACACAGGTGCCCTGCTGGAGGTGTGGCTGACTTTCCAGCAGAAGTGGATTTTTCTGAATAAAGTTCTGCATGAGATGAAGATCCAGTTTCCTAATGCTGACCTGGTAGGGAAGGGGGTTAAGGCAGAGAGGGCAAAAAGGGTTCCTGAATAGCAGGGCTCAGCGTGGGAAAGGGGAGCTGCCACTTCATATTGGCCCTCACTTTTATCCTCTCCCTCACCACAGAACTCTCGTTTCAAGGTCATGGACGACCAGTATCGAACCCTGATGCGCATCTCTGTAGCTGACCCCATGGTTCTGTCACTGGTAGTGCCCAGTGCCAAGAGGAGCCCTTACTTCCAAGGCCAGCAGCTGCAACAACTGCTGCAAGCAGGATCGGTGGAGCTGGAGGGCATCATCATGACTCTGGAGAGCGTGCTCTATGGAGTGTGTGCTCACTTCCCCCGCCTCTTCTTCCTTAGTGACAGTGAGCTGGTAGCCCTGCTGGCTGCTCGACTGGAATCATGCGAAGCCCAGCTATGGGTACGACGCTGCTTTCCTCATGTGCATGCTGTGAGGTTCAAGTCTTGCCCAACTGGTGAGAAAAACATGGATGACTGGGAGTCAAGCCCAAACGCACAGACTCAGGTGGAGGCACTTGCAGTGCTAGGGGCGGGTGGGGAGGAGGTGAAGCTGCAAGGTCCCCTTCCTCTGCATCCAGATCTCCCTAAGTGGCTGGCCTCTCTGGAGAAGTGTCTGCGCTTGGCACTGGTGCACATGCTGCAGGGCTGTGTGGCTGCTCGCCTTGCTCGAGGCCCATCTCTAGGTGAAGCCCTCAAGCAGCTGCCCAAGCAAAACAAGTTGTACCTGCAACTGTATGTCCAGCACTGGATCGATTTAGTCCAGGCCTTCCCATGGCAGTGTGTGCTGGTGGCAGAGGAGGTGGTATGGCGGGCCGAGATGGAGGAAGCTCTGCTTGACTGGGGTACCCTGGCCATGGTCTCCATGCATATGCGCAAGCTTGAGGTACTGGTGAATTTTTTGCGGGCCCAGAGGGCTTCCCAAGGTGGACAGTCCCTGCCTTCTGTCCGCCAGACCAGCCTGCTCAGTGCCCTGCTGGTCATGGCAGTGACTCACCGGGATATAGCACAGCTGCTGGAACAGCACCAGGTCAGTGATCTCACAGACTTTCACTGGGTCCGCCAACTCAAGTATCACTTGGGTTCACCTCACATAATCCCCAAAAGCCCCCTACAGAGTCTTAAGACTACTACATCTTCTGAACACTCTCTGTCACCAGCAGCATGCTGGATAGATGTGCTAGGCAGGTCCTTCCTGTACAATTATGAGTACTTGGGACCTAGACTAGGGCCTCTACCCAGCCTGCTGCCTGAACGGCCAGCACTGGTACTATTATTGGCCCTAGAGGAGGTGGCCTGTGGGACTCTACTGGGTCCTAATGGTGTGGGCAAGAGAGCTATAGTGAATAGCCTGGCACAGGCCCTGGGCCGCCAGCTGGTGATGCTGCCCTGCTCACCTCAGATAGAGGCTCAATGCCTGAGCAACTATCTGAATGGTGCCCTGCAGGGTGGTGCCTGGCTGCTGTTGGAGAAAGTTCAGCAGCTTCCCCCTGGCTTGCTGTCTGCCCTGGGCCAGCGCCTGGGTGAACTGCACAGCTTGTATGCCCCACTGTACCAGGAGGCTTCCCGAAACACAAGCACCATAGACCCCACCGAGCCCCAGCTCCTTGGCAGTGGCTTCTTTGAAAAACATCACGTGTCTATGCGCCTTGGCTATGGCTGTCTCCTGGTACTGCGTGCCCTGAGCTCTGCTGTGCCTGCCAACCTGCACCTGCTGCTGCGGCCTGTGGCATTGGCATTGCCTGATCTGCGGCAAGTGGCAGAGCTGACTCTGCTAGGTGCAGGGATGCGGGATGCCTTCCAGATGGCTACCCGCCTATCCAAATTCTTCTCTCTAGAGCGTGAGCTGGTGTCTGGGCCCCTGCCCTGCCGCCTGCCACTGCTCAAGCAGATACTGGAAGACACAATACAGACACTAAATGTGGCCAAGGAGGAAACGAAGTGCCAGCAGCCTCGCAGCCTAGCTGCCATTGAGGAGGCTGCCCTACTGCATGCCCTACTGCACTCACCACTGTTTAGCGTTCTCAATGGGCTCCACCTGCACAACCTCCGAGGGCTGCTGTGTGCGCTTTTCCCTAGCGCCAGCCAAGTGCTGGCAGAAGCTATGACTTACAAGCTGATGAAGGCACTGGTGGTGGAGGAACTGCAGCAGGTAGGTCTGCATCCCAGCCCTGACATTTTGGGGTCCTTGGAACAGTTGAGCCAGGCCCTGAGCCGGGCCTCAGGCATTCTGCTCCTAGGCCCTGCAGGCAGTGGCAAGACCACTTGTTGGCACAGCTTATTTAAGATCCAAAATCGGCTGGCAGCCATGGAGGACACCTCAACCCAAGGCTGCCAGCCTGTGGAAATTACCCACCTGTACCCCAGTGGCCTCAGCCCCCAGGAGTTCCTGGGATGGTTAGAGGGCTCCTGCTGGCATCATGGCATCTTCCCCAAGGTACTTCGTGCAGCCGGCCAGTGTAACAACATGGGCCAAAAGAGGCAGACAGAGGAATCCATGGGGATCCAGCACTGGATAATATGTGATGGAGCCTCCAGTGCTGCTTGGCTGGACTCCATCACTTGCCTCCTGAGTGAGCTTCCGCAGCTTAGTCTCCCCAGTGGACAGCAGATAGCACGACCCCCAGGCACCTTTCTCTTGATGGAGGTGGCTGATGCAACAGGCATGTCCCCCACAGTGGTAGGCTGTTGTGCCCTAGTCTGGTGTGGTGGAGAGCAGACTTGGCAGTGTATACTTAGTGCCCTGATGGCATCCCTTCCCTGTGAGTACCGCCTGCAGCACCAGACAGTCGCTGAGCTCAACCACATGGCTGAAGTTCTGGTGCCTGCAACATTCCGATTCCTTGCGCGCCAAGGTGTCAGCTCTCTGCTGCAGGTACATGGGCAGCAAGCTGTTTGTGCAGGTGTGGCAGAAGTTACCAGCATGGCACGCATCTTGCATAGTCTGCTTGACCCCCACCTGCGCCTAAAGGAGGAGAAGGCCCCTGGCCCAGGTGGGAAGATGGAAGGGCTGGCTTGAGAGAGATGGAGCCTTAAGGGTAGCTGGGGTATATGGCTGGAGCCTGGGGCATGTGTTCTTTGGTGGATCTGGGCCAGGAGTGAGAAGTAATAGTGTCAACCTTTTTTCTTTCTTTCACCTTCCACCTTCTTCTACTGGGGCTCCTTTCGTGGCCCTGGCAACTTTTGCAGAGGACCTCAGCTGTAGTGATCCTGTGGCCCAAAGCTTCAGGTCTTCAAAAAGCAGCTTTCTAAATCGGTCCCAGGTTGACAGTGACGATGTGCCAAATAAGTGCAGGGAACACTTGCTGGCTGTCAGCAGTTTTCTTTTTGCCCTGATCTGGGGCTTCGGAGCCCACCTTCCCTCCAGGTACCTACCGGGATGGGGGATGGGAAATGCAGAGGGCTGAGATGGACTGGCCCATGGAAGTAAAAACCCACATGACATCACTGTTAGGGTATGGTGGAGTCTGTGAGTGTGTCATAAATGGAAGTGTTGTAACTGTCTGACGCTTTTGCCTGTGTGTCCATCTGAGCAGGTTCTGGCCCGTCTTTGATACCTTCATAAGGGATTCTATTAGTCGCCTCTCCAACTACCCTGAGCCACCACCCTCAGCCTTGGTGTTTGATCTACATGTAAGCCCTGAAGATGGAACACTGGTCCCCTTCACTGGCCAATACCTGAGCAGCCACATCAAAGGAACTCTGGGCACCTTTCACCCTTCTATCCAGGTATGAGGACAGTAAGGCAAGAGCTAGGGTTAGAACTTCAGGACTTACCTTTGGGGTAATCCATGTTCAAAGATCAGCTGAGGCCCACTCTAGGACAAGTCCCCTAGACTTTTATTTTCAGCTAGATTACTCTCTTATACTGGAGGTGCTGCAGTAAGTCCCACTTCTGTCCTGCAGACTGAGCGGCTCTTGTATGTGGTGGACCTGCTTCTGTCAGGGGGGCAGCCAGTGCTGCTAGCTGGAGAGGCAGCAACAGGGAAGTCAGTCTTTGTGGAGGTGCTGGTAGAGCCACATCACCCTTACATATACAGCCCCATCCACCCTGCCTTCAGTTCCACCCACCTCCGTCTCCTGCTGAGCAGAGGAATCCAGGGCCAAACACAAGCCAGCCCACAGCCTGGGCATCACCAGGATTCTAAAGCCTCCCTCCTCTTCTTGCTGGAGGATCTGCACCTGGCCACTTCTGGTGAGGAGCTGGGAGGAGGGAAGGAAGGAGCTACTGTCCTCTCTTGAGATTATAAAATCCCTAGCAATATTCACTGACTCTCAAATATATGTCTATAGATCTAACTTTAATGTTTTGTTCTTAGTATCCTCTCATTCTACATATGCTCCCTGAATAATCCCATCCACTCTCATGGCCTCTTCTCTGCTTTGACTGCTAAATCTCTGTCTCCAATCTCGCCTCTTTTCTAAGCACCAGATCTGTCTATCCAGCTGTCTACTGTATGTCTCTGCCTTGTTGTCCTGTTGGTACCTCAGATCCAACCCTGAGCTCATCATCTCCCCGTGGCCAAAATCTGCTCCCGTGTGTCCTCTTAGTTTCACCATCCAACCAGTCATGTAAGCCAGAAATCTTGTTGACATCTCTTTCTTCTTCACCAATATCTAGTCACCATGTCTTTTCAATCCTACCTCCTACATATTTCTTGAATCTTTCCACTTATTTCCATGGTTCAGATGATCTTTACTTGGAAATCTGACAAATGCTCTTACAAAGCTTTCTGTGATGAGGCTTTCTTCTGTGTCCTCTTACACTCTCTCTAATTGGGCTCAACAAGTCAGGCTTCCTTTACACCCTGGGATTGCTGTCTTCTCTGCCTTCTTTATGTGGATAAATCCTACATATTCTTTCTAAATTACCTAAGGCAGTAGCTTCTCCAGGAAGCCTGATTCATAGGCTCGGTTAGATATCCATCCTGTGCTCTGTACAATAACCTGTGATAACCATGATATCATGATTGTATGCTTGCCTGTCTGTCCCTTTCGCCACACTTGGAGATTTATGAGAACAGAGAACAGAAATTTGTCTCATTCATTTTGATAGACCCAACAGGAAGTAAGTGCTCAATAAAAGTTTGTAGAAAACAAGATAACAAAGGAAAGGAGAAAAATCGTGATGAAAGTTTGGGATACTGAAGTGTAAAGTTTCTAAAGTGATGTGCCTCTAGATGATGACAGCTTCTAAATATGGCCATGGGATTGGGAAGTGAATTTTAGGTAGAGGTTTAGCCCATTGACTTCCTTGACTCCAACAACCTGGTAGATAGTCTATCCAGTTAAATAGCGAAGTCTCTTATGAGATGTAGAAAACTTGAACCAGATATATTAGTACTTAATAATAGCCGGTACAATTTATTGAATATCTACTATGTGCTATATGATATGTCTGTGTCATCTTCAGTGCTCATAAAAGCCAAGTAAGATGGAGAATTTTTGCAATTATTTTAAAGATGAAGAAACAGACACAGAGATTTTATAACTTGCCCGAGATACCCTAGCTATTAAGTGTCAGAACCAAGATTAAAATTCAAGTGTATTTGGTTCCAAAACCTGTAGTTCCTTCCAGCTATATTATTTGGTCTTTGTAGTGAATTTGCAGACAACAGAAGGAGTAAAGAGTGGTACAGTCAGATATATGAAGAGATTTCAGCTGAGAAGAGACTTCAGCAACATTGTAGAGTGAAGAATATTACTGCTGGCAGAATGTAAAAGGTGTCCTTGAGTGACAACCACCAAAACATCTAATATAAAATAAAAAATGAATAGACATGCCAACAGAAACCCCCAGAAAATAATCTGACCTGCTGTCAAGAAGAAGCAAGTAATAGAATAGAAACTCACCCTGAGATCTAGCTATATGCTGTCCAAAAGATGCACTTTAAATATTAAACACAGATAGATTAAAAGAAGTTTTTTAATGCAAAATATTTACTGCAGAAATAGTTTGCATAAGGAAGCTGATGTGGCAATATTAATACCAAAGCACTTTAAGACAAAGGATATTACCAGAGATAGAAAAGAATATCTCATAATTAAAAGATTCAACTCATCAGAAAGACAAAAGTCTTAAATGTGTCCACATCTAAAACAGACATTTAAGTATATGAAAAAAAGCCAATAGAAACAAAAGAGAGATAGTAAATCTGAAATCATAGTAAGAAATTAATATGCTTCTCACAGTAACTGGTAAGACAAGGAGCAAGAAAGTATGGACATTAAAGATCTGAATAACACTAGCAACACACTGACATTTACAGAACATTATACTCACCAAGAACATTATACTCACCAGCTGCAAAATGCACCTTCTTTTCAAATGCACATGAAACATTCACCAAGATAGACCATATGCTGGGTTATAAAATAAGTCTCAACAAATTTCAGAGGATTAACATTTTAAATATTTTATCTGACCATAACAATACAAATATTGATAAGATGCCTAGAGAATTTCCAAGTTATTTAAAATTAAACAACACACTTCTAAATAAATTATGTACCAAAAAAGAAATTACAAGGGAAATTAGAAAATGTTTTGAACTAAATAATAATGAAAACAAAGCATATCAAAATTTGTAAGATGCAACTAAAGGTTATAGTTTTAAATATCTCTTAGAAAGAAAAGCTTGGAATCAATGACCTAAATTTTCAGCTTAAGACTCTAGAAAAAGAAGAGTAAGTTATACCCAAAGCATTTAAAAGGAAATCAATAATAAAGATCAGAGCAGAAATCAGTGAAACAGAAAAACATACAAACAATGGAGAATATCAACAAAGCCATATTTTGTTTCTTGAAAAAGATAAAATTGACAATCACCTGTTAACACAAATCAAGAAATAAAAAGGAAAACATAAATTTTGAATATCAGGAATAAAAGAGTTTTTCTTAAAGATATTTAAAAGGATAAAAAGGGAACCAGGGCCAGGCAGTGTGGCTCACGCCTGTAATCCCAGCACTTTGGAAGGCTGAGGAGGGCAGATCATGAGGTCAGGAGATTGAGACCATGCTGGCCAACACGGTGAAACCCGGTCTCTACTAAAAATGCAAAAATTAGTTGGGCATGGTGGCATGTGCCTGTAATCCCAGCTACTCGGGAGGCTGAGGCAGGAGAATTGCTTGAACCAGGGAGTTGGAAGTTGCGATGAGCTGAGATCCCACCACTGCACTCCAGCCTGGCGACAGAGTGAGACTCCATATCAAAAAAAAGAGTTGGGGGGAGCCAGGCATGATGGCATGTACCTGTAATCCCAGCTACTAGGGAGGGAGGCCTAGGCAGGAGGATTTCTTGAGGCCAGGAGTTCAAGACCAGCCTGGGCAGCATAGTGGGACTCTCATTTAAAAAAAAAAAAAAAGTTTTAAAAAATGGATAATAAGGGAAAATTATGAAAAACTTTATGCTAATAAATTTAGTAACTTAGATAAAATGGATACATGCTGTATTAGTCTGTTTTCACACTGCAATAAAGAACTACTTGAGACTGCGTAATTCATAAAGAAAAGAGATTTAGGCTGGGTGTGGTGGCTTACGCCTGTA